TTTTTCCTGTCTAAGCATGCTCTAGATTCTGCCTTAAATTTGTTAAAAATTGCAGTTTACCCTTGATTCTTTGAAGAGTGGACTAGATCCTGTGACGCTCCTATGTCAACTTCTTCCTTTCTCTACCATGTGGCAGTGTTTTCCCCATGCGCTGATGTCAATGGATGGCTTCCCATATAAAAATACTCAAAGCAACATACAGCATTTAAGATAAAACTATTTAAAATACAAACAGCCTGTTTAAAATATACACACATTGAAAGATAAAACAGTGAAAACAAGTCAATTCTAAATGAAGACTGCATTTCATTGCTGGTAAGCTTCAATAATGCAGGGCAGGAGCCTAGAAATGCACATCATGATGCCAGGATGTGTGGTGTTAACTTTGTATTGATGAGGCAAATTAAAGAAGTTCAGCAAAGAGATGTTTTTTTCAGCTGCCACAGAATGCCTGTCTCCTTGAGATACTGTCTATTAATGTGACACAGGATTCTTAAAGAGTAGAGCAGATGCTATCTATCACTGGAACCTTGGTGTTTGTGTTCCAGAAGGGAGGAAAGCAAAGGAAGCAAACACAAAAGATCTCATTTGTGGCTTGCCTTCACATATTACAGATGCTGACATATAGCTCCCAAATACTAAACAGGGATGGAGAACATGGGTCACACTCAACTGTTGCTAGACTGCATGTCCTCCACCCCAATAAAGCAGCCAGACAAGTCTTTGAAATTATGGGAATTTTAGACAACTGTTCTTTAGAGCAATGAACTGAATGCTTGTAAATGCTAGGAACATCACTGTGGAAAAGCAACCATTAGTGAAACTGTGGGCATCACTGATAATATGGTACAGACAGATGCAGACTAAAATAGAGACAGCTGTTTATTCTGGGGCCTTTGGTCCTTCTGTACAGAAAGTAGAGGTTGCTCTGCAGAAGCCAACAAGGAGGTTTACTCATAAGGCAGTTTGATCCAACACCTGCCTTTAAACCTCACTTTCATGTTTATTACTGCAGAATAGCAAGCTGCATGGCAGCAGTTTTAAATTTAGATCTCAGTGTCCAAAATATGCTTGCAACATGGTATCTTCTATATAAAATATTCCTCCTTTTCACCTTTATAGGGGAGGTCCTCCATCTGGACTGACCCCTCTGGATCTGCTTCAGGTTGTTCTTCATAGATCCGATAGGTGCCTTTATTCTTGTACAGGTAAATGATGATCAGCGCAACGACCGAAAGGAGAGTGACTAAAACCACAGCTACGACAGCTAAAAAAAACATTGCAAAGGGAAACTTTAGTACACAGAGTCTTGCAGCAGATCCAACATACCACATTTTTAGCTATGGTTACAAGGATGGGAGCAGGCTGGCTGCATGCAAGCAACCTTCTCTGTCATAGCAATTCCACCTCCTGGCTTCCAGCCAGTTTGAAATTAAGGTCTGGCAGTGGCCTGTTAACCCTGGCCAAAGGGAACCATGTAGGGCTGCTGAAGTTAGCAGATGTGGGGCTGGTTATCCTCTCTCGAATGGGAGACCAGAGGATATGGTTTTTTTAAAAAAAGCTCATAACTTTTAAGGAATAATGACTAAGGGAAGGATGGGATTTCTGGAAGAACAGAAGGGAACACGCAACCTATTCCTAACCTCTTATGCATAACTAAGAAACAAATGGCATTATACCTAAGAGTAAACATTTGACATGTGCTAGGTTTCTAGGCAGACTAAACCCTTTCTATATTGCATTGTATTCACTGTGTGGTCCCCCTTAGGCTATGATTGGAAGAATGCACAGCAGATTGTTCTTCTGTGAACAGCAATGCTGTGTATTTGGCATACTTGTACCAACACTGCTTTTACCAACCCAGCATTTCTTTGTATCACCTTTTTATATAAATGCAGCTTTCACTTTCCATCTCATTGAGGGCTGGACTATATCGTCCTAACAGCATAACTCAGGATTGTGCTGTAATTGGCTCTGAGCACAGAATTCTGCACCACAAAATTATAGCTTTGATTTTAAAAAGTCTACTTCTAGCCCTCAAGGTTCTGAAGGGTGGTGCCCCATCAAGGGAGATCAGATCAACAATGATTAGAAAAATGGCCTCACTTGTGGGGGCATTCCAATGGGTGGCAGGAATCTTTTCCACAAGAAACGTTGGTTAATGAAGGTGCAGAATCCCTTTTTAGTGCAGCCTCAGGGTTAAAAAGCAATTTCCAAGAAATTCTCAAGGACTGTACTTTAGTGGCAGGTTGGGCTAAAGGTAAAAGTGAATGCAAATACCAGCTTACTTTAGCGCAAAGCTCTCACTGTCAATAATTAAGCCTTAGGAAAGGCATTTCTGTATTTTAGAATTGGGGGGAATGCCTACAAGTTGGGAGACTACTGGGGAAAGGAATAAGACCAGTGGAAGGAAGGTGGTCTTTTCCAGAACTCTGGGTGGCTAGATCTGGCCTCCAAGCTTGAGGTTCTTTAGTTCTGGCATAGACTGTTCAGAGCCTTGATCTAAGGAGCTGTCTAGAGGGCTGTAATTCAGAGAACTACAGGTGTATTATGAGGACTTGTGCTGTGCACATTCATCACTCCAGACTTCCCTTTGGTGCACTCTGGCTGGGTTGAAGTGCATCACTTCTTCCCACCTGCAGTGATATTGCCAGCATTACCTCCTATGACAGCGGCACTGGTGTCCTCTTGGGCTCCTGGTAGATTCATCTTCTTCATAAATGGGCTGGTCAGTAGCTCGTCTTTACAGATGAGAGAAAGAAAACAAGGTATCAAGGACATCTGAAGCCTGTGCGGTGTTGTGGTGGACAGATCACTTGGACCTGCACTAGGGAAATCTGTATCTGTAGTGTTACTAATTGGTGGTCTATGGACTACTCACTTTTCCCCCAGCCTCCCTACCTTTCATTCAAGATCACAGTGGTGCCTCTCTGCAGGGATAACAACAGGGAGGCACCACGGTGATCTTCTTGAATGAAAGATGGGATTAAAATGTAATAAATGGGAGTTTTCCAGAAAAGGACACTTGCCCTTCACACTATTCGTTCGCCTTGGCCACTGTAAAAAAATTGTGTGCTGCCCATGATGAAATGGTGGCGACTTGAAATTAGTTTTGGTGCGATTGTGGAGGTAGTGGTAAGCTGCCAGGGTAGGCATAAAATGATTATGGCCAAGTGGTCTTGATGAAATATCTGGGTGCTTATGGCCAAAATGTTTGGGAAAGAAAAAAACAACCTGAAGCTAATGGAAGATTTCCTCTATTAAAGACTTCAGTGTTTTGGCTAGAACTGAAACGGGTCTAACAGTATCATTTTCTAGTGTTTTCAAGACTTAGGTAATCTGTCTCACTCTCTGTGAGCCTCTCTTTACGAACAACAGTGGAGTTGCCAGCAAGAGTAAATGTTCTGCCAACAGCTCGTTTCTAAAGATCTCCAAATTCTGCCAGTATTCAGATACTACTTCTTCAGGGGCCAAACTCTTTACGGGAATGTATGTGCTGGCCTCAAGCCTGGTGGCCAAATCAAGGGCTATTATATGCTTAAGGATCTTGTCGTCAGCTCAAGGTGTCTGGAAGGCTGAGAGCAGAAACCTGTCTCCCTTGGGCTGGAATCCCTTCCCTAGGACCTACCCAGCCCACCCTTTTCTCTTCTCATAGAAAAGCCCTCTAATGCTGCATTATCAGAGCACAGATCAGCAGGCATTCATTTTTACCAGCCTTTGCTAACCTGTTATACTCCATGTGTGTAGGACAACTCCCATTGTCCCAGCCAGCCTAATGGGATGCTGGCACAACAAATATATTCTCTGCTCACCCTATGAATGATACAGGGGAGGTAACAGCCATAATAGATAGATATGCTAGCAAGCTGGAATACTGTGTGGCGAAAGAAAAGAGGTAAGGGAGGTGAGTGCTGGGGAAGAGTCCTCCTTCAAGGCACACGTCTTTATGGTGTGGTTGATACGTAAAGTGGAGTGAGGAGCAAGAACCTTGATATGGTAGGATGGTCTGCATTGCTGCAGACTACAGGATGGAGATACTTTAGAATGCTCTCCTATGTAAAAACCTCCAGCAAGGAGAAAAGTAGCACAGCAAGCAGATGTGGACCAAGTGCACAGGAGTGGCCCTATACCGGGGCACTGGGGGAAACTGAAAATAGTGGCTTGCTGCAGACAGCTGCTGGCACCCGTGGGCCTTCCTGGGATGCTGCCAGGCTGGGCTGGAACTCTTTTCCCTGAAGTACTTGCTGAAGCATTGAAAAATTAACTCAGAAAAAGCACATTTGTGGGAATTTTTTTCTCTGTCCCAGTCTCTAATTCTCTCCATCCATCACCTTGGGAAACTGCCAAACCTCCAACAGCTCCAATGATCAATTAAGTACAGGTTCTCTCTTACAGAATATTGTCTGGTCCCTCCGCTTTCTCCTGAACACACTTACCTGTGGGGGGTGGTGGTGATGATGGAACATCTGTCATGGCATCTATCACTTTTTCCTGCTGTCAAACTGACTGACTTCTAAAAAGTTAGAAACTTTCAGAGCTGAGGAAGGAAAATAATTAACAATCAGATCTTTCTTGAGAGCATTGCTAACAAAAAAAAAAATCTACCAGATCCTTCAGTGCTAAACTGTGTCTGTCTGAAGTGATCAGATACTTCTTTATATCTTGCATATCAAAATCAATCCATGTAACTCAAATGACCAGAAAAGCCTAAAATCCTACAAAATATAGTAGGGAGTAAGCCTCATGGAATTCAGTGGGGCTTACAAGTCAGTAAACATTAATTAATATATATGTATGTATGTATGTATGTATGTATCAATGATTTCTAGGCAGCCTACAAATTTAAGACAAAAAGTAAAACAGGCAGTACAAAGTAAATAAATAACAGATAAAAGCACAATTAACAGAGGATTGAAACTAGGTGAACGAAACTGCTGGCTGAAGCAGAATTCCCTACCTGCAATCCCCTGAAAATGCTACATAACCCTGCTGAATAGAGAAAGCAGTAAGGCAGGCATCCTTTGGAAGTTTCCTTCCTCTGATAGAAGGCAAATCCTTGATTCCATCTGGAAACTTTAAGGTGTTTTAGCTTTAAAAGGTCCGTGTGAACAAAAACATTTTTGCCAGTTACCTAACAGACAACTAAGTTGGTGCCAGGCATATCCATCCAGGGAGGGCATCCCATCACTGAAGCACCACTATCAAAAATGCTTTTCTTTTTGGATGGAAGTGGTAACTGAAGGGCATTAGTTGATTAAGATAGCATGCACAACAAATAGATCAAATAGGTATGGGAAGAGACACTCCTTCAAGCAAATTGGTCCCAAGCTTTTTAGGGCTGTAAAGGTTGGCACCAAGACTTTTGCAAGCAAATGGTGTTCTTTTAAGACATGAGCCAAGGTAGCACCTCCTCTTGAAGTAGTTTCAGTGAACTATCTTCCTGAACATACTGCAGTAACCCAGAAAGGGTTTTACTATGAATGGATAACCATAGCCAGACCTAACACTCAGGAAAATACAATGGACATGTGATAGCCCACTCCTACTGGTGTCCATGAAGGATTGCACGTTTCTTGGCCTTTGATGCTTATTTACTATCTTTTGTTCATTCGTTCACTACCTTTTGTTTGATTGGGTCCACGGACATGATAGTACTCATGTTTTATGGTCACAGTGGCATTGGCACACTCAAACAGATCACTGGGCAACTGCTCTGCAGCCCTGCTAATTAATTACTATAAACCAATCAACAGCCAGCCAACAAAAAAATCCTTCATTTAACTAGCAAAATAACAACAGTATAGAATAACAAAATTTCCAGTGGCCAAAGAATAGCTTGAAAATCATCTACAAAATGTAGTTCTCTTCCACTTTGTTTACCTGGATTGAATCATTTAATCCACATGCAAAGAGCTGGAAATAATTAACTACATCACATCACAGATGTGAGCACAACAAATAGATCTAGGTGATGCAAGCAAGCAAGCAAGCTGTGTTGCAGGAAACTGTGGGGCATGGAAAATTAATGCTGAAATAGTTTCTATGTGGCTGCTTCTGCATTGCCAAAAAAGGAGTGCCTTATCAAAAAGAGGTCGACAACGTGCATGGGATCTGAATATACCAATTCATATGCATAGTTTCAAATTTAGAAATATTAACTGTAATTTAAAAAGCGAAACAACACATTTCAATGTAGTGAGGAGGATTAGGATATAAAACAATCTCCGTGTAGTGAGTTTTGGATATGCTACATCTTGATGTAGTGAAAAGGAGTGGCCAATTGACTTGTGTCCCTGCTCAGGCTTCTATCAAAGTCCGGAGGATGTGAGGACACCTTCCAGGTCCCTGCTCGCCCTTTATATGGAAGAAAAATCAAATAGTGATTAAAATTCAAGGGATTAGAGGGGGGTGGGGTTCAAGACGGAAAATGAAAGAAAATTAAAAAAAGTATGTTGCAATGAAGTCTGCAAGGAATTGAAGGAAGGGAGATTATAGGAAGGGAGAAGGAGGTAGGAAACAAGGAGATGGTCTCAATGTCTTTTCATAGCTAATTCTCCAAGCACTTGTTGTTGCAGTTATTACAGGTCTCCTATTGTACAAAAAACACACCCCAAGAAGGTGGCAGAATGGACCAAAGTGAATGGGGCTCAACGGTGGGGTATGTGTGAAAGTACTCTTGGTTCTGACACCACATTTACTCCATTAGAGTCTTTTACTTCTATAATGGTTTTTAAAAAACTGTCCAGAACATTTGTGCAAGTTTTTGGACTGGAAATATATGGAAAATTTAATGGATGGGAAGTAAAGGCTGTGAGAACTTGTGTATCTGAGGTAATGTAAACCTTAACGGGCATGCCAATTCCACCCCCCAGCTTACTTCTCTCTCTTAAATTTATGCAGATTTTTCTACAGACACACACAATTTACCTCCCAGTCATTTTATTTCTGTATATTTTCTCTGGACTTTTTTACACCTGTCAGGTATTCATAGTATATATTCTGAAAAGCAGCCACAGAAAGAGTAGGAGCCATTATCACCCTGTTCTGAAATACCTGGAGACTCTGGGAAGCATTAAAAAGTTTAAGGGCACTGAAAAGTGTCAGTTAAGCAGTTTAAAGTGACAGGAGCATAATGCCAAAGGGAAGATATTGTCCCTACCCTTTTGGTGCATTTGCCTTTGCTGCCTTTTTCTCCTTTTCAGTGTTTTTCAATTGTCAAGTCAGTAATTTGTGGGGGGGGGGGGGTTGACAGCTGAAATACACAAGATAGCTATACAAATATACAAAAATAAATAAAGGAAGACTACACATATCAAACATCCGTAAGAGTGTACTTACACAATTGTGAAAGACTGACAAAAAGAAATACCAACAACAAAAATGATTAAATATTTGCACAATTTTC